TTATAAAGTGCATAAATCTATTTTCACAAACCAGTATACTACATAAGGTTGGGAAACATTCTTGGTACAGTTTGCGGTGTATCTCTTCCCACTACCTTTCAGAGTTTGTAGGGACTGAATGGGGATGCTCACAAACCTCCTTGACAGATAAACCCCATCATGGATTCTTTTCTTCAGAGAAAACACACTGGGAGTTTTCAGATGACTAATATTTTAAAGTAAAACGTAATCCAACTAAATCAAAAGAATCGTGCAGCAAAAAGAACATAAAGAATGTGTGAGTTACCAAGATTGGTGGTGGGGATTTTCTGCATTCTTGTGCTGGAGTGCAAAGCTGCGTCAGAAGCAGAGCTCTCGTTGGAATTTCAGCTGAATACTGACGTACAATGACAAGAGGTCACAGAAGCCTGACTTTGAGAAGTCGTGAAGCTGAACATCTTACGCAAGACGGCTGAAGCTGGGACAAGCAACTTTTCACATCTCTGCAGGGGCCGACAGCCCAGCAGACTGTCTCTCAGGCAGAACACAAGTCCCATGTTGGTACACAGGGTTAGAAAAAGCAGAAAGCTGAGATCCTGTGCAGGATGCCTGTCAGTGGTATAAAACGCAGCAGGAGAAGAAAACATGAAGAATTAAGAAATCAGCCATACAAAAATTAGAAAATGCAGAAGAAAAGTACCACCAAGTACAGAAGAAGAGTTGGCCTAGCATCTGTATCGTTTGGTGCAGCATCTTGATTCCCCAAAGTGCTACAAAACCATGCGAAGGCATGCTGCCCAGCTGTGGTGGGCGCTGAGGTCTCCGTGGGCAGGACTCCACCTAGCGAGGAGATAGGCTGTACTGCACGTGCAGCGTGCCAGCCCAGCGCGAACCGACTCCAGGGACAAAACAAACCTCTGGAAGGTAACAAACGCTGCAGCGTTACGCTGCCCTGGTGTTGCTACGGCCTCACACACCCACCCAAAGTCCCATTACGCTAGAGTACAGCCCCTCCCTGCTTTGAATCAGATACAACATTGAGAAACATTTTCTTCCAGCTTACAACCAGAGAACTGTAGGATCGTTTCGGTTGGAAGATCAAGTCCCACCATCAACCCAGCACTGCCAACTTCACCTTACTAAGCCACACAATGACTTTGTGGGAATGTAACTAAAGTGACAACACTTGGCTTTCATCACCTGGATGCCTTTTAAGTCCCCCTCACAAGAGAATGACCTGAAGCTTTTTGACTTCACTGGAAATTTATTAGCGCACTTGACTTCAAACCAACATCCTCTTTCTGATGATGATGTAATAAAAACAGATACAGACACTAGTATTGCATGTCCAAATATTTCAATACATGGTCCTCACTGTTCAGAAAAGTTATTAAACTCTAATACATCTGAATTTATAAAAAAAAAAAACCTTCATTTTACACCTAAAATTTTGTCATAGCAGCTAGAGGAAATCAGATTTTATAAGCAATTGTCTCAAAACAACAACAAAATACAACTAATTCTTCCCCAAATCAAAACTGGTATCATATTATTCACTACTGACTGCAGATCCCAACTTGAACATCATCCCCACAAGTGTACAGCTCGGAAAAAGAAAAATGTCATTCCAAATTACCATCTACAAATCTGAAATTTATTAAACCACAACTTTCAGCATATGTTGACTTTTTCTGTTAACCGAAGTTAACACAGAATGTGTGTTTAATTTAATTGCACACCATTTTCCTTAAGCCACTGGTTTTTCTTTCTTATGACATGAATAGATTCAGAAGCTACAAAATACTAATGCTACCTACAGCAGTTTATACAAATCCACGTTTGAATTGCGACAGGCTGCTGGACATGGTATTTGTTCACCCAAACAAAAGGCCAGATTCCCATATCCATTTAAACCAACATCCACATTACCCCCCTGCTCCATGGATAAAGGCAGACACAAAACCAGGAGGCCCTGCATGCCATAAACAGGCTGATGAAGAGAGGGGTGACAGAGGCATAACAGAGCACATGGCAGGATTACATTCTGTTTCATCCTCTGATGAGGATGAAGACGTGCTATACCAGCTTGCTACAGAAGCCTGACGAGGGCTTTCCTCCTAGTCAGTCTTACGCCAGAGCTGGGAATCGGGGAACTACAGTTCAGCTTCTTACACAAAATCCTCAAGCACCACAGTCTTGAGCTGCAGTTCCACAGTTTACCCTTCTCTTGCACAGAAAAAAAAAATCATTACATAATGCTCATCTGTATCTATTCTGCTTTCTTTTGCTGTAAAGAAAAACTATACCCATCTTCAGAGAAAAAAAAACCCTCCCTTCTCCTCCAAAACAGCCATCATCATGGAGAGCTCTCACATACAATCCACCAGAAAAAACTTCTCAAATCAGGTAAGGCCACATTGCTACCTTTGCCCACTTTAAACAGATGACAGAGAAGATATTTCAACATACTTCACTAGGTTCTGTTATCAAAGATAGTTCACTAGTGAAACAACACCTGTGTAGCTCTCTCCTGGAAATAACATTTTCAGACAAGTTCTGACTCACACTGTCCCTGTCCCTTAAAATAAAACTATTGCTATTTTAGTGATTTTCAATCAGTTTTAACTAAGAGCACCGAGTTACCCTTTAAAACCACTTTGCACATATTTTCTTGTGATTTGCTAGCAAGAGGCCCAAACACTGGGATGCAAGTGAGCAGAGACAGTAGGACGCTTCACAAAACCTGGCAGTACAAAAGGCATCAAAAATGCAAGAGAACGAAAACCAGACACTAAAGTGAGACTGCACTGAACTAGCACTGTGAAAATGGAATGAAATGAAGAAGGTCCAGCAGTTACACAGAATGCTTTACTAGAAGTATCTTTTGTTTGTTCGAGTAGTCACAAGGCATTCATGACCATGATACAAGTTGCAGAAGCTTTCACTTTAAAGCGCAGGAGGAATAGGAGACCAAATTATTCCAGCTAAGGACACTTATCGAACTGAGAGTCTAACACAGGACTGCTCAGCTTGAACATGATTTTCTGACAAGTAAGAGAGTCTGCATGATAGGGGGAGAAGTTTACACAGCTTAGATGGCAGTGTGTGTTGGGCTTGTGTCTGGGTGGGGTTTTGTTAGTAGGGAAGGGGCTGCTGGCATGGGTCCTGTAAGAAAGTTTGAGAAGTTCCCCAGCTCCAAGCTGAACCAGCCTCTGGCCAAGGCCAAGCCAATCAGCACCTCTGCAACAGCACACTTAAGAGAGGAAAACCTGTTGGGCAACTTCCCTTGTTTTGGGAGCTCTTCTGTTTTAGAGAGGAGTAGGACACCTCAGTAGACACAACCATGCGGACACCCAGGTCAGCATGAAAGGAGGAGTGGAGGCACACCAGAGCAGCCATTCTCCTTCGGCCTGTGATGAGCCATCCTTTTGAGCCCTTGCAACCCTTAGAGATCAACAGTGGAGAAGAATTCCATTTGTAGCCCAGGGAGGACCCCACAGTGGAGCAGATGGCTGATCCAAAAGAAGCCCATGACTCTGAAGGAAGCCTGCACTGTAGCAATCTGTCACTGAGGGCATTAGAGCCCTTGAAAGGGACCCACACTACCTGAGAAGTTCACGGAGGACTGTCTCCCACGGGAGGGACACCATGCTGCAGCAGGGGAGGACTGTGAGGATTTTTCCCCGAGGAGGAAGAAGCATCTGAAACACATGGAACAGACTGCGGCCAACCGCAACCCCCACTCCCTGCCCCCTGTGCTGCTGCCAGGGAGGAGCCAGTACAGCTGGGCCCAGGAAGAAGGGAGGGGTGGAGGGAAGGGTCGTATTTAACATCCAGTTGTAGCTATTATTGTCCTACTCTGGCTGAACTGGTGAATTGGTGATGGTTTTGTTTAAATTAAATTGACTTTGCTTCCCCAAGTCGAGTCTGTCTTTTGCCTAGGGCCATAACTGGTCAGTGAGCCTGCCCTGTCCTTTGTCTCAGCCTTTGAGCCTCTGTTGTATTTTCTCCTCCCATCCCACCAGAGCAGGGCAGGAACGAGTGAGCAGCTGCATGGCACTTTGTTGCTGGCTGGGTGGGCTCAAAGCAGGACAATGATGCTGACAGCTTCCTAAAGCCAGGCTTTGCACAAGACTTGGCTTATTTTATTTTCAGAGACACGTACTGAACATGACAGCCGTCACCACTCGATCCAAACACACAAGCATTTGCATAAACTGCCCCCATCTGCACTAGAGTTCCCAACCAAATACAGCCCACGTGTTTTCTGAAAAAAAGTGTTCTTGGTTATTGCTGTATTGCAGGAAACCATAGTCATTACTTGCAGGAGACAAGAGTGTGTGTTTTGAAGACCACATCATTTACAAAAAGCCTCACACTTAGTCTCTTCATCCTGTGCTGCCTCTGTACAGCAAAACTAGCATTCTGTTTCTTCAAAAAAACCCAGTACCTTCAAACTCTCTCCCTGCCCTGCACATCTCAGGAGCATTTATACTTCTTCACTATAGTTTCTACCAGCAGGTAATGGCCCACAGTGAACTTATGAGAGCACCTCAAGCAAGAAGGCATACTTCACCAAATGGACCTGACCTCAGTGAAGTCCATGAGAAAACAAGGAAGGGGAACAAAGGGGTAGGGAAGAAACTTCATCTCACTTTTTCTCTTAAGACAACAGATGTTTCTGACCACAAAGGTTTGTTCAGAGAGCTGTAATTTCAGGCCAGCTCATTAAACAGAAGGAGCCCCATCAACCAAAGACAAAATCCTATCTAAAAAAAAAAAAAGTTTATTTAGATCTGCCTCTGAGAAAAATTTCAGCATTGAAGAAACTGAAGAAATCTGCATTGCTACCCAACAAATCAGACTGTGCAAATCCATATTGTTTTCCTGCAGTGTTGAGTCACATCTGGATGATGGACAGGCCCCACTGAATACCACACCCTGGGAGCATTTCAGCACTTCCTCTCCCACCAGAACACTGCCTTAAAAAGGAACTCCCACAATGGCATGATGAGAAGTGATCTTTTCCTGCCATACAGTATACATATATTTAAGACTTTCACAAACATTTGGCCAAAAATTGTCTGTTATGGTGTTTCCCAAGTCACAAACACTACACAAGCCATTCTCCCAGGATATGCTGTCCACAGACACGTGACTTCCACCTTACTTCTCGATCCTTTTCCCCTTATCCACCAAGAAAAGTGTTGCAACCTTTCAGGCTTTGATTCTAAATCTTCAGCTTCTGGATAACTGCAGCCAGCAGTTTTACTTCTGTATTTTACAGGGACTCAGAAAACCCCCATTTAGTTTACATATTCAATACACAACCTCTTCAGTAAGTGCTTTCACACACTGTTCTTAGTCAGGTCACTTCACACCACAGAGGTGGTACTTTCCGGATTTACACGCATCAATCTTGAAGCATTTCTCAGATCCTGTAACTGCTTGGCTGGCTTTCCAACTCCTTCCTCAAATCTTTTTTCCACAACAGGAAGGACAGTTTCATACAGGAAGGAAGCATTCTGCCTAATGAACGCTTTCTTCTCAGGGTCCTGCTCACACCGTAAACTGTAGTCGACATGCTGGACAGCCACCAGGATGATTTCCACAAGACTCTCCAAAAGAACCATATGTAGCTCTGGGAAGTAAAGCTTTAACGCTTCCTCCAAGAAGGCCATAGTCTGCTTAGTGAAAGCTACTACAGTATAGCTAAGGTTAACCCAGCAGTCATCACCTGTGTATTGGTCAAAATTGCCTACCCCACAGCTCCTCATCTCCTCCCTGAGTTTCCCCAGTGCCTCTGGAGTCATCAGGTTCATCTTTCTCCACATCTCCTCGGAGTTGCGGTGCTTGGTGGCCTCGATGATGATATCCTTGTAGCTCTGCAAAGCACCTTTGATATCCTTTACCAGAAGGGCATGAATGATGAAGGTGAGATCCAGTCCAATCTCGCTAAGCTGCTTGCAGTGCTCTTTAGCTACCTTGGGTATTAACAGAAAGCGAAGGGTGTTACTGGTGTGCAGGTGCCTTTCCAATATTAGAAATTTACCAAATTTATCATTCTTAGAAAACAGGTAAGCATTAACCATACTACAATTACATCTCCTACATAAGAAATTCCTTAATAATGATAAAGTAATAACCAAAAGATAAACTCTGGCTGTCAAAAATACTCTGGACAATTACATTATAATCCACACAAACACACTTCCCCCCCCAACCCCCGCTGCTAGCACCTGAAAGAAACCACAACCTGAGAAAGTGAGTCTGCAAAAAAATTATGGAAATGTAATTCAGGACAGGTTTGGAAAATAAACAAAAAGTCTTCATACACCCATCATTCCGATATAGCTTATGTAAATTTTAGGACCTAATGGTTAAAAGCAAACTAGAAATAAACACATTTTGCATTTTTTATAAAGGCAGAGTTTTCCTAGCTGTGTATTTTAATCTTAATTCTTTCCCCTGTTAAAGTGGAAAAAAACAAACCAATCCCAAATTAATATTAACCTTTCGGTGCAGGAAACCTTGAGAAAGAGAGAGGCTCTAGGGTTAGAAATGAGGATTTACAAGACCCATTCAAGAGTCAGCTAAACTAGGGTTAGAAGCGAGGATTTACAAGCTTTGCAGCCTTTATTTTGACTACCACGTCGCACCACCCTTTTTGGACCCTCTTACCTTGACGCACTCTGCCGCAGTTGACAAGCTCTCTTTACTATCAAACACTTGCTTGCTGAAGGCATCTACAAACATCCCCACGGAAGATCGGGCCCAGACGACGTACCAGCCGTTGTTGCCGGCGAAGTCCGTCTCGAACTCCCTCGCCGTCTCCAGGAGGCTGGTGAAGAAGACGTGGCAGAGCTTGTGGATGTAGAGCAGCGTGGCGCCCTCGATGCGCAGCTGTCGGATGGCTGTTTGCACCGCGGCCGCCCGGTTCTTCAGGAAGAGCTCACACGCCTTGGTGGACTGGCCCAAGCGAATGAGCTGGGACACGGCTCGGCGGGTGGCCCGCGGTCCTCCCCGCAGCGAGCGGTCTGGAGACAGCTCAAAGACGAGCACGTCCGTAAGCTGCCGGACCCGCTCATCCACCTTGGCCCGCAGCTCCTTCACGGGCTGGCTCACAGGCTTGTCCCCCAGGTACTCGTTGAGTTTGTCCAAGAGGTCCACCGCCCCCTCGAAGTCCCGCTGAGCGATGCAGACATCCAGGTCCTCAGGCAGCTCCTGGATCCACTCGAGCGAGAGGTCGACCACCTCCTCCTCAGCGGAGGCCTCTTCCTTCTCCTCCTCCTCCTCC